CAGCTGACAAAAGTAAATTTATTTGCAACTAGACGATGGACGAAATCTTACATTTGCTTAAAGAATTATTTTTTTACAATGTTAAAAAAAAAGTACAAAAACGTTTATCATGTTTATTTTGACAATTCGAATAAAGTGTATTATCGCGATGCACACATTTATTATTTATTCATCCAAAAATAACTATTTCAAAATTTATTTACGTTAGTACCAACAAACATCTTGATAATATAAGTTCATGAATCAATACAACATAATATTGACTGAGATACAAGAGACGCCCTGACCGGAAGTGTTGAAAAAATGTTCACAGACGCATGGCTGGCTAACTCTGTGGTCCTTCGTCAAGCAAAACGGCGCCTGCCTCTACCTCCCTTCCATTAGGTAAACCAACAAATGTACCGAAATGACAAGGCGTCGAAAATTCGTTGCGGCTAGAGAAAAAGTGAGAAAAAAAGCGAACAGAAAACAAAAGAGGCTAGATTGGATTTGGTGGTTTGCGAATTTTCGTCGATTCAAATGTCTCAAGTATTGAGAGCAGGAATGTACTGTAAAAAAAATTTAGGAAGGGGAAAAAATATGGCTAACAGAGATACATAAGAACGTGTGCTCGCATTAATAATGGAGATGTCAACTGTTGTTCTTGTATATTTTTCCTCTTATGCAATATTTTTTAATGCGTTTTCGTATAAATTGATCTTTGTTAAGATTATGCCAATTTCAGGCTAAATGTATTTTACGTATATATTTGTTGATTTTGTTTCGTGGGCCTTGATGTTTAAGAAAAATAAGTCAGACGTCCGTATGAATCTATTCAAATAAGAGAAACAGAAGTCCGGTGGCACAGTCCTATATTTTAAAAAATGTTTTAAAAAACATGTTTTAAAACTGCAAAGGAGTTGAACGAATCGTTTTATTGTTGAGATGTGTTTCACTTCGAATTTCGTATCGTTTACTAAAATAATCTACTCTTGGACTTGTATTATTGATTATTAACGTTATTATTATCTTGACCTAAAATCATTAGGTTCTATTTAAGCGGTTAAGCGGTGAAAATGAAAAATTCTCCCACAGAAAATTTGTACACATGAGCATTAGTGCACGACAATGTAGATGAGCAATCAAACAAATGTTAATGCTTCCATTAAAGATTTTTTTAAATTTTAATAAATAAGATTACAACCAATAACCGTTTGCAATGGTACAGTATATCACCGAAAATTTAACAAGTTAAATATAATTACATGCACTAATCACGATAGTTAAGAGTTTCGGGCACAATTAATGGTTATTGTGATGATTTACGAAAAATGTGTACAAAATTTCTGGTACCGAAGGAAGGCCTGCTTTCATTTATCTCCTTGTAATCAAACTGATGGCAACGATCTATGCTAACGACAAGCTGAAAAATTCTTTATCGGGGAAACTAAACTGCTGCGACAAATAATCTATAGTTGTGAATTCTATAGTAATAATTGTAGCCCTTTTCCTTGTATGCAGAGACTCGTGGGGAAGCATAACCGTGGAATTTATAATTTATTTATCAAATAGTAAAGACAATCTGGAAAATGAATTCTACATGATTTGTATTACATTGTAAGATCACTTGACTCGAAAACTTTCAAATCAATTCAATCACTTTTGAAAAATTTCGGTATTCTGATGACTGCTTCAGTTATATTGTGTCAATGGTTTTTAACCCTTGGGAAATCACACGTTGTCCTTGACCGCCTCGAGTTTCTTTTTTTTACTAATAACAACAAGGAAAGCAAGTCCCTTTCCAATTATTTTTTAAAAATTTTGTTTTGTCACAGTAACATTTTTTCTTGCCTTTTTTAATCTCCTTTGAAAGGTCCTTTTTACAGCCTCGGTAACCTCACGGTCTCTAAAATACATGGAACTTTCTATTGTAGACGTTGTTCATAGTTAAAAAGACAAGAAAACAAAAAATAAGAAAAAAAAGCGTTAAATGTAGCAAACTATATATAACCTCTATAAGCTAACGAGCAAACCTTTTAATCAAAAGAATATAGTGTATTAGGTCTATAGGAATTACGATACAATCGTTTCGGAGGATCGTACGCTGGCTATGACCGCCACTGATTTGTAAAACCCGTACGAGGTCTGAAAGCGGATTTGATATAAACCGCTTGTGGGTATGGACTTTTTTTTTTAATTTAGCCGTACATGTGCGATCAATTTTGTCAGTCACGTTTTTTCTCGAGTTTTCATTTTTTCTCTCGTTGTTCTTTTAATCAACCTCGAAAAATTCAATCAATGCCTCGTCACCATACAATGGAGTTCCGTTGAGAATTTTTTTTTTTTTTTTTTTCGTACAATCTACATTTTTTTACGAGATAAATTGTGTTTGTCGTATGACTTAGTGGTCATGTTTTTTAAGTCAGGGTCATTCATAGAAGCGAACGATTCTCAGCGCTAATTATCCATGGAAATACTAACCAATAACCGTAGAATAAGAAATCAAATAATTTCGATCCTCATAGATAGACAAACAAAAAAAGATAACGAGTGTTTGAGAGTAATTTAACTATTTCTTTAACTACAGCATCTGCGTAAATATAAATATCTATGATAAAGAAAAATATAAATAAACAAAAGCAACATTATCATCGCCGCAGCTCCCCTCATTAAACAAACGTTATTGTTTCATTATGTATTGAAACTTTCATGATTATCCTCGTGATCATCGCTATGCATACATCATAATAATTACAAAGTTCCCGACACGTTGTTTTAGCTTTTTATTTGTTGTCTTTTTTGATCATTGGATAGAGCTGGTGATCCTCGGAGCTGAGAAAAAAAGTTGATGAAATTGTTAAAAGCGCCCGTCGCTTCCATAAACACCATCGAATACCAAGTCAGAAAATAAGCTGAGAACTCAATTATCGTTATTATTATCGAAGGTGTCACTGTTCGGGCGGTCAGTTAATGAATTTCAAAGAAAAAGTAAATGCATAAAATGAGGGACGTCGCGCGTCCGTCCGGGTTTTAATGAATAATATTTTATTGAAATTAAAAAAAAAAATAAATAAAAAAAAGTTCTACAAAACGAGGAAGCTTCTATTAACGAATCTATATGAGCGGTAATCTTTACTTATTTTCATCGAGCATTACATCCATTTGCGGAAATTGAGGATTGAATAATAAGACACTTGATAATATCTTATGAAAAAGAAGAATGAAAAAAAAAAAAAATGAGAGTTGAGTGTGGAAAAGTGGTTTCAAATGTAAGAAGTACCGATCTGTCCTTGAGCTTCAAATTGTTATTATATACGATGCTTGACGATATTATGATATTTTTATGCGAACTAATAGCTTGCTTGCCTTAACTTCATTGATTTTTATTTTTATTATAAAATAATCCATCCGAAAACTGATACACTAAAAAATGAAAGTTCTGAAAAGATATTTTTTGAATTTTATTGAGGATTGTACAAAATTTATGATTCATAAAATTTTTCAAAAACTTTTAAACGTTCTAAGGGAAAAAAATTTCCAATCCACAATGAAGTTAACGCCATCGAGCTATGGTCGAATTGTTGCTATTCGTAAGATTGTTGTTATATCGCTGTGATTGCGTGCTGGTCTAATTATGATTGTCGAGTCTTCAGTAGGCTCGTACCGATGTCTTTGGATTAACTTATTTCAATCAATTTTCATTAAAAACATCATTGGTAACTCTAACCTTGTGCTACAGCCCACTTTGAACTTCTTAAAAGTATGACAAAACAAATTTAAAACTAAAATGTTTTCTTTAAAAATTCAATCGGTCGAGGCTACCAAGGCTACGAAAAAAAAAAAAAAAAAAAAAGAGAATTTCATACAAGACTACGATTTCAAAAAAAATAAAAAGTGATTCTGCAAGCGCGAAAGTTTTGTAACAAAATTTGTCGCCATTTATTGTAAGTTCTTCATAAATAATAAATTATTGAAATTAAAAAAAAAGTTCAAGTCGCGGAACGCATAATGACATAAGTTATTATTACGCTATACGGCATTTGCACTATAAGCGCAATGTAATAAAAATTGCCGAGACTCTATACCAATTGTCGATTCTAAGGATTATAAATAATTGAATGTCTGTAATGAATAAACGATATCACGCAACAAAACTTAAAACTAACAATGGCAATGTATGATTTCTTTGCAATGGCATTATTTTTCCTTTTTTATTATTTCAATTTATTTACAAAAATTTTTTTCAAATTAGTAGTCAACCGTTGATCAAAAAATCAATACTATGAGCAAGACTTCAACATTAGCACAAATACATAGGGCTGACCACATCGCGATATTACTACTTAAAACGAATGCTCGTCTTTCAGTCCGTAAATGAAAGACTCTCGCGTTGGAACTGTATTCTTAAAAACATCCCGAAGCTTACAAGGTTATAACGTTTCGAAAAATGCAAACTTTTGAAAAATATTCGGCTCCGATTGTAACATCGCAAGATGTAGTAAAAGTCTGGCAATAGCAGCGGATTATCATAGTTCGGCCACTCGAGAGCGTAATGAACAATGCGGCGCTTGCCTCTCCTGGGCGCATCGCACGAGCTCGTTGGCTCGCTTCCAGATAAATGTTTCGCTGGCTCGACACTGCCGCTTTGCACCGCGCAATCTTCACGAGGCATCGCACACCGATACGCATCGAAATATCCAAACAAAACCCAACAGAAACAACCTCTCGTCTGCCATCCATTTTTCATTCTGCTTCTTTGGCTCCAATCGTCGCACCAATTTCCCTCATCTCCGTTAATCCGACCGATTACCGATTTTTCTGCTAAGTTTTTTTTCCGTTCGCATCACACGAGCGCGTTTGAATTAAAACTTTTTCGACAACAGCCCAAAGGTTTGAAAGTTTTTCCTTCGTACACCATGGGCGGTGTCAAAAAAGTTTTAACCACCACTTGGAGCAGCGTAACGTGAGATGTATTAATCAATAACTTTATAAAAGATTTTCATTGGTCTATTTTGGGCTAGGAGCGGTCGTTTACCGCGCAGTGGGACCAAGGGTGGGACGAGTGTCCGTCAGCCCGAACGGGGGTTGCACCGGTAAGCCTTAATCCCAAAATATTACTTTATTAGATCAGATTTTTGCGTAAAGTCACGACAATTTTGTAACTGTAGTGGTAGTACGTATCCAGTTTACATCACTCGTAAATAAATAATTACACGATACATAAGTCAGGTATTATTTAACATTGTTGTACACGAGTCGTCATGTAGTTTACGAGAATTTATTTGCATGTTTTTGTTTAGAGTTTGGTTATTTATGGAAATAATTTATCTTGTAATTTTTACGTTACAAAGTAACATAATCTCATGTTATTTTATGTGTTTGTTTATTTAAAAATCTTACTATTAACAGTTACTTCATGTAAGTGACAACGTAACCCGAGTTGTAAAAAATTAAACTGGATACACAATTTTTTTTTCCGTTATCGACTAGATCCTCAATAAATATACCCAATAGATTTGGCAGTCGTAGTATAAAATTTTTTAAAATTTTTATCACATATCATTATAAATTGTTATGGAATGTTTTGGAGTAACATTAAAAAACTAGCATAAATGCATCTCTTGAACGGTGTTAGATTTTGTTGCAATGTAATCTAATAGTTATTTGCAAATGATTTTGCGAAAAATTCTGTAATAAAAATGTATCCAATCATGTTTTCCGAGCCGATTCATCGACTTTACTTTAAGCTACTTCCATTCAAAAGCCTTACCTCATTTCCAAATTAATTACGTCTTCGTTATGGGTTTTCACAAAATCAAATACCCTTAGGAATTCCCAACGATCCTCATCCACTGTTTACAACGACCAATACTCTTCAGCATCTTTATTTCCCCTTCCCATACTTTTTTTTATATACCTTTCCTGCATCATCCCGATTACACGCAACATTTGGCAGGAAAATCAACGAGATTCTCTTCTTTCTTCCATTTTCTCCAGTCCTTCCAGCTCTAATCTGTATTATCGCTGCAAAAACGCAGGCTCGTGGAACTTTATTCGATTGCATCGAAGCATCGGTCGCTGTATTGCCACGCGACTTTTTTCCCCATTGCCCGACTCGGTGGCCAATGAAAGCTCAACGAAACGTCACACAATGAGCCAACTCCACATGACGCGCCCCACCTTTTTTTCCCATCCACAACCTTCGCGGAAAAATGTTAAAGGTATAGTAGTTTTTAAGTCCATTGAAACTGAAATAACCTTTAGTGCATCTCTCCCCCCCCTCATCCCTCTTTTTCCTTTACTCCGCAGGGCCCCACCCACTTCTTTATTTCCCCCTCTTCTTCCGAGCACAACAACGAACGCAAAGTGAAGAGAAAAACGGGAACGCTTCTCTGCGAGGTAGCCTCCGATTCTTTTCAAGCTTTTTTTTTCTTTCTCCTAAGAGAGGCACGGGCGTATCTTCCCACCGAGTGGACCGTGAAATCGTCTTTTCCTGCCATTTCTTCGATTCCAATGGCGAAAGGATTTTTGTATGTAATACTTGCCGCGACGCCAGTTTTATGCCGCAGTTTCATTTTCTCAGAGAAAAGCCATTCACTCGTAGTCGTCTTGACAAAGCACTCAAAGTGCTTTACCATTAAGTCGTTAGCTTCTTTGTTTGAATTGACGGAGATACCAGAATTTTGCAAGATTTAGGTTTCTTTTGAACGTGATAAAATGCTGTGCGATATCTAAAAGCCATTATGATGGAGAACAAAAAGTTTCGTCATACAATTAAAATCTGAAATACTGGTATTACCAAATGCGACTGGGTAACGCGTTAGATTTTAGATCTTAATTAATGTGCAAGCCGCTATGATGTATCTGTTAATTTGTGCATTCGCTACTCCCCGTGTACTCGTTTACGTGTACTAATGTTGAATGATTGTCTAGCTCATAGTAGATGGTTCATGTTCAAATGGAATTAAATTTTACTAACTTTTCAATTATTATTTTACTTAGTTATTTTATAAAACCAATCAGAAGTTAAAATTATCCAAATGTGGCCAGAATTATAATTCGCGAAATTTATTGAAACTGACTACAGAAGCACTATATTTGTGCACAAACATTTAGTTTTAGGAAAGTTTAAGTTTAGTCAAATAAAAAAAAAGTTGAATGGATTTTTCGTTTCTATTTGAATGAGTTTCAGTTTTTTTTTATCAAAAATTTTCAGTTTGATTTAAAAAACACATCTATTTTTTACAATTATTCTTCAAGGGTGTAAATTTTGGAAAAAAACTTATTTTGAGAAAGCTGTAGGGGCTTCGTACATCCCTTGAATTTAAATTAAACGAAAAAAAATGCAAACAATTTCATCTTGAAAGCCGTAAACGACGAAGAAACGACTGAATGAGTAAAAGTTAACGACCAGAAGGGATGACGGAAACACAACCCCACGAAGAAGCTGTCTCTCATCTTGGGGCGAGTAATCTACCATCTACCTAAACCTACTGTCTCTTAGAAACAGCGCCGAGTACATTGTGTTTATTTACCTACATATACTTAGATTATATAGTGTTTCATCCGCGGGACGATTTCACGAGATTATCAACTGGTTTTAACAAATGCCAAAAGAAATGAAAAACATACAAAAATGATCCAATCAGACTGTTGCCTCTAATTAAATAAGTAAATACTCGCGTATACATAAAACGCTGTTTTTGTTTCGTCTTTCGTTCTGACGATCTATAACCATAAAATGCATAGGGTATAAGCCATTTACTAATCAAAATCGGGCTGACTTGTACTCTTAGTATAAAACAAAATTTCTTAAGACCCAAAGCGTCGTTACGCTGGTGTGCACTCGATTGGCCTATTACGTATACATGAACATCTTATATAATAATTCAAATTCCTTTTTGATTACCATCTCTTTCCTGCCCTTGCCTCAATAAATCCCTGAAACATGTGTGCAGTAAAAAGCAGTCGTAGACCTAAACCATACGTGTATGCTCCCATCCACTGTGAAATTTGGCCCCCACCTTTGCTTGATGTCTCTAAATCGTCCTGCGGTGAGACGAAAGTTCGTAGTTTCGGCGTAGAAGGTCAATTATCATTATTGTTACGTAACCTGCGAAAGCTAAATAGACATTTGTCGTTATCTTAGAAAGTGACCGTAGTTCTTACCATGACAATTATTACTATTACCAATGTATATCTCTAACTAAATCCTTGATTATTTTTTTTTTTACTGTAAAAATGTACACGAGCAGTTGATACTTTTTTTTTTAGAGAAAGCTAGGCTTATCATCACAACACCATAGTGTATATTTCATGTATGAATACGTATATTACAGGTACACTAAGATGTGTATCCGTAAAGTCCATGTAATACATAGTAAGAGAATGTGCCAACGTCTTATAGACAATACGGCAGATTTGGAGCCAACATTGTTTTATCGTAAAGTGTTTTCTATTCGTAACTACATTGATATGTATGATGTATACGTCATGTTTACTATCACTATCATAGAAATCACTAATTAGCAATAAGAAAGTAGTTGTAACCAACAGAGCGTCACATTAGCAATGGCGCGCTATAGCAGTGTAACACCGCTCGCGGCGCTGTCAGTCTCCATATGTATACGGTGTTGTATCATATGGAATGCAAATTAGACCTTTGCCATGGCAGCGTCGTCTGCGTTTTTCCTTTTCTATACGTACATAGTGGCGTTTTAGAACCATATAGTTAATATGTTTACTTCTGTTATGTTTTGTTTTTTCGTAGAATAGTTATCGTTACGGTATTTACGTAGAATAGTTATTACGGTATCGTAATTCCAACACGAACAATGTATTTGTATTACATTATGATTGTGTCGTCGTATGTACTTTTTCCAGACTAATTGTACATACATAACGATATTTCGATATCAGTGTACGTTCAAGCACCTAAACATACAATGAAGTTTCATAGATTTCTGTTTATATTTGTGTGTTCTTTCTTTATTATTTATTATCATTTATATTGTTATGGACGATTCCATAGTCATAGTTCAATATTGAGATATATTTTAGTGATCAGATCGATCAAACCATAATAATTATATATAGGCTACGCATTGTTATAATGTTAATTAGCGCTATAGTAACACAACTAGAATTAGAAAATGGGTATAATATTGTCATCTTTGTTTTTGGCGTGTAGCTTAGAACTTTTTTGAAATAACAATAATTTTAGTATTGAGTTGAAAAATATTTATACATTTTAAGGCGTGAGTGTGATTGCCATTTAACGCGCATTGGTTTATTTGATTAATTATATCGTTCAAACATAGTTTAGTGATGACGTACGCTACAATTAACATTTTTACTGATCCAATGTGTTGTTTGATGAAACTATTTCCAATCGTCAGTTTGCATTGATTCCTCGACAACCCCGTCCCTTCGTACTGTTGACGCAAGACGCGCAATCACGATTGTTTGTGATTAATTTAGCTAGACATACACGTCCTCCAATTTACTTGCAAGGAAAAGCCACACCCACCAGAAATGTTTATATTCTCAAACCGTTCCACTTCACGAATTTTCTAAACGCCTAAGCAGCGTGTCTGTATTCCACATCGATTTTCACGCCCTTCTCTTTGAAAACACTGGTGTTCAATGAGCAGAGTAAATGACGTAAAAAAATTGATCCGCATATTCGGCTCTCAAGGATGAGCTCGCAAAAGAAAAGCGTGGAACCGCATGATCTTTGTCAGAAAAGCTCGAAACATCAAGGGTATCGCGAATTTGGCTTTTGTAGAGAGACACACGAAAGACGGAGAAACCGGAGCACACGTACCCATCCACATCCACGGAGCCGTCAGCCGCACAGTCAACGAGACACCACCTCGTCTCCAGAGATTTTCGGGCAAGAATATCTGTGACAAGAGAGAGAGAGGGTGGAAGGAGGGAGGCATTTCCCTCCAGCTGTACGGAAAGTAGACGAAAGCGAGAGAGGGAGAGGGAAGGCCTATAGCCTATTACGCGAGTCGTACTTATCCGGTGTCTCGATCGCTTTTACGTCAGTCGTGAGGGTACGCTCGCCTGTTACCCCTCTCCGTCCCTATCCGTTTACCCTCGAAATAGATGAACTCTTGGCCTACATCGGCCTCTCGGTTACGAGGTGCGCTTCCATGCTGCTCTTCTTTCTCTTGAGGTAATGAGAATCGACATAAGAATACACCATATGGATGCGGGCACCTGCACCGAGATACCTTACCCACGTGCACATCTCTTGACCTACACACCGAAGCGTTGCTCGTTATTTGGGACGAGATCGTGACGTAGATAACCGCGCTAATATTGGCGTGACAATCGCGAGGTGTTATCGCGATAGGGATCTCGGGCTATTCGTGGACAACGCGGTGGGAGATGGCAAAACCTCCATATTGTATATTTCACACCGAAGGTGTCTCCAGGTCTAACGTAATATTAATGCTCCTTTTTCGGCTCATTAGTTGGTTCATCGTGTTTATACTAAATTCGTAAACACCACGCCAGAATCGAGGGTATTTTGATGCGCTAATGTAGTCTACTCTCAATTATTCACATGTTAGTCGAAACGTAGATGTTTACCAAAAGTTTGACTCATAGCAATTATATCGACGTAGCTAAGAAGAGACTGCGAAATCGATTGCGCCTCTAACTTTTGTGCACACGAACGTGTGATACATATATTTATCACGTACACAATGCCTCTTTATACACCAATAGGTACATACAAAAACCAAGTGTGTAGGTAAACTCGCGATAAATCAAGAATCTCTATATACCTTTCATTTTGAGTGCTACGATCCAACTGTTGGGTATAACCTTACTAACTCTCATCCAACATCTCTACGTCGATGTCGTAAAAGAAGTCTCCCTCTCGAGGATCGCATTACGTTCTAGTTATCGTCGATTGTCATCGTCAGCCCGTGTACCAGCGCTTAGACATAACGGTATGCGATGACACCCCATTGGTGTATAGATAGATACATAGACGTGAATTTGAGGAAAGAGACGAGGCATACATCGATCACCCCACCCATGCATGCAACTCTTCACTCCTACTATTTCAGTATGGGCACGAATCACGTCGATTCGTAAATTCCAGGTTATGGATTTGAAGCTATTTCTCAATCCCAATCCTTGGCGTTGGTGGGAGATTGAGGCTTGAATAGTAGTGATGATGGTGATATCGGTAGCGATGGATACTTTCAGTTTTGGACCCTTTAGAATAGTATATACAGTGTATATACCTACTTCTTCTCTGGTTGCAAATAGCTTCTTTTCAGTTTCCAGTTTTTACAAATTTTGAAGTTTCATGGTAACAAATTAGCTTAAGATCCTACGAAGATTTTCATTTGGGTTCCACCGTATCGTATCAGGAAAGATTTTCTGATGAATTCAATGATTTACGTTTGGTTAAAAAAGTAAATCGAAACAGAAATAACCTACTTTAATTTACGTGTCAAGTTACAGATTACTTAACAATTAAGTTAACAACTAGCATTAACGTAACGTTGATTATCTTTTTTTTAAACTATGCTTTATTGACATTTGATTTAGTTGATTAAACATTAAAAAAGTAAAAATGAATATTTAGATTTGTATTGTTTTTTCGAAGACAAAACGCTACGTTGATCATCCATCATTTAAATAGTATGATTTCCAAAAGGCTATTATTAGAACTATATTCTTTAGGACTACTGACGGTCTGCTACCACGGGAGTGGAAACGAGACTCACGCATACTCGGAACCACCGATACGGCAAGCCCAGCGCACTGTGCTACGGAAAAAACGTATGGAGACGACTGTGACAACATATATACACTTACATTGGCATAAACAAACAAGTTCATTTTTCATGGGATCCAAGCACGAGTTATCTTTGTCTCTGCTCGCAAGATCATCGACTAACCCTACCCCCACTGTGATCACGTAAAACTCTCATCCTCTCTTTTGCCACGTGTATCACAGATACGCCTTTTCTACTAAATGCAAGATCTTAACAGTGGTTACGTCTAACACCATACGTAGTGTACCATAGAGTTTATGACTAACTGCCCTTAAAAAAAAAATATATATTTGCCTGGCTTGTCATTCGAGCTCATACAACTTTGAGATACCTTTGGCTTTGTGCTGGCTTTTCACACCATACTCCGTAGTGATAAAATTAAGTCGAATATATGGCATTTTAATGTGTATGCGACTACGTAGGGGTCAACATTTTTCTTATTTCAGTTCATCTGCAACACATTGGATAACCCTGAATGCAATGTATTTTGATATTATTGGTTCTGCATTTCTGATTTCTAACCTTTCATGTCAAAATTTCATCCATGATCGATTTAACTGATCTTTTAATTACTTAATGATTTATTTTATGTTTTTATGATAACAACAACGTACTAATTATTATGATTTTTTGCGGAAAAGGAAAACTTGATAAATCATTTAAGGGGAATGAGAGAGAAAGAGAGAAAGAAGCGTAAGCTACTTGACCTACTATAAGAACAATAGTAATCAGAGTCTTGTGTTTCAGTGGATTTAACCAATGGACAGCTCACTCCGAATAACAACACACCCCTGCTCACGCAAGCGCTTTCTGGTAAGTATATTTTACACTTCACTGACCTTTCACTTTTTCCACGCGTCTTTCATGATTTGTGTTCCTGTGGAACCTCTTCATCACCCAAAATAAAGCAAAAAATCTAGTTAACGATTGAAATTTCCATCACAGCGCGAGTTTACTTCGTTCGTTTTACGCGACGGACTTTTTTACCGGGTTGGTATTTTTTGCAAGCTCCGATGGACGATAAATAAGTATCGCCGTTTCCCGAGCAAGCAGCCAAACAAGAAGAGCTCCTGATTTTCTTAATCCCCGGGCGGGCTCGGATTTAAAGCGCGCCAGCAATGCCCCGACGCACGAGCGACGGGGAAAAATTTCCGCCCCGGCATCCGCATTATTTACGAGCGAAGGGGCGTACCAGGGAGTACTAAGCACGAGTAAAAAAGCCACTCCAAGTTTCGAACGTGTCACCGAGAGGGAAGAGCGTGTGCAGCGGATTTCACGGGTCGTGCATATGGGCCATCCCCGGCATCGCCACAAGCTCTCCCGGCAAAGCCTCCCTCCTTCGGCCGCTTATCCACCGTCCCTCTCTTTCCCTCGACCGTATCCTCTCCCAGACTTTCCCATGCCGGCCGCAACTCCTCTCAAATAAATCAAACTTTCGAATCGACCCTCCCACCCAGTCGGGACCCCCGTATCGGCAGAAAACTTTGTAACCAGCCTCGGCATTGTCAAGAGTTTAAAAGCCGAATGGGTTTTTAAATTGCGAGGACGAAGATCGGTTTGCCATTGATCGAGCGTTTTGCGTTGTCCCGTGTTGTGTGTGCCTATCCCCGTCCCCTCGCGGGTATACATCGACCATTTCTATTCTCTTGCGCCCCCCCCCTCCCTTTTTTCCCAACACGTTTTCGCTTGACCATCATCGAGGGTGGATCTACAGCCAGGGATTAGAATCGCGAATATCTCGAGAGCTCGCGTTTTTTCGTTTTCATTCGACTCGGACCATTGATTGCAGAGCTGCCATCACCGCGCGCGCCTTTGTTTTGTTTTTTCACCCTGTTGACTCGTCTTTTGTGCCCCAGCTCGAATCGAGGCTCTTGAAACTCAAACAACACGAAATTTGTTGGGAGGTAAAAGTATTTTCGCGTGAGCTTCATTACAGCAATAAAAATAAAAACAAGCCTACCAGGAGATATCAGTTTACTTATTCATCTGTCCAGATAATGTAAAATTAAGTCCGAAAAAGTATTCTCGGGATAACGAATTTTTTATTTCTCAGTTGAGTCGAGGTGTATAATGGAGAGACAGGCCAATCACACCCTCATTATTCAAGGACCGTATTCGGGTTAATTACTGAATTCAATAATGCATGCCGTTCGCGTTAAAAGACAAAGCAGAATTGTACATTCTGCGACACTCCGCTTGTGACAGTCGTATGAAATCGATACCAGGGCTTGCGTGGCTTATCTGTCGTGGCATGCAGTTGCAAATCGGAAAAAAACACGCACTCTATCTCACATTGATTAACGGGATTGCTCCGTGATGTGTTGACCCAGTTCCCTCTCATGGCATGGAAAGAAAAAAACATGGGCTGGCGTTTTTACTCCCTCCCGTGTGTTTACGAGCTCGCATGGGACAAGAACACATGTGTATGAGAGTATATACATATATACTCTTGGGTTTTTATCGATAAATTCGTGTCACCTTCGCTGAGCTGCATGATACATTTTTTTTTTTTCTAAATGGACTTGGGTACTAACATTGACATGTACACGCATGGCAGCCAAATATTTGAACAACTTGTGGGCTCAAAAAACGTAATATCAAGGCAATAGACAGCTTTGTATATTTCACGACAAATTCCACCTGCCATCGATGTAGCTGACCTTCACGCGCGGGCGTCGTAAAAAATTTATTCGAAAGTGGATATCCGCGCACCGCCTACAGTTTATCGCTCGATCCTACATCGTAAAGTAAGACGGCGCGTGTGACAGTATTACTCGAAAGTGGAAACGTGTTGTCGGAAATGTTGAATTTACGCCTCGTAAAAACAGTATGCATTCAATTTGCAGGGTTGAAAATTTTACTTTCATCAAAATGAAAACTAAAAAAGTCACTAAAAATAGTTAATATTATACAGACCCACCTTACCTTGAACCCAACTGTTCCCACACATTTCATCGTATCATCCATACTCCAAAAATTTCACCATAATCAACTTGAATGGAGAGATACTAAGAGAGCAGTGATAATAAAATGAAGGCACCTGTGGTATGGGCTTTGCAGTGATGAACAACTACCAAGCGGCAGCGCAGGCCGGCTTTCCACCGGCGTCGCCGCACGGAGCGGGTGGCCATGGCGGACACCAAGGCCGCTCGTTCCCCGCCGCCAACTCGCCCGGGCCCATGGACATGTACAGTTCAAGCGCCGCGGCGGCGGCGGCCGCAGCAGCAGCAGACTCGGCGGTGGCCAGCTATGTCCAGGCAGCCGCGAGCCCGCAGCCGCCCACCACCGCGTTTCCCGCGATCGCCGTGTCGCGCGCTCCACTCAACTACAGTCCCGTAAGTTTTTACAATACGCCGTTATCGTCATCTTGATAGTGTCTTATTAAACCAATCAAGTAAACGAATGGAGAAAAGAAAACGCGACAGGTGTATCGAGGAATGTTCTGTAGGGACAGGCAGTAGAAAAGTTCGAGTTTGGTCAGACGGGACTTTAATGCATGATGCAGTTGAGCAATTAAAGCTGTGTTTGGTTGATAGTGTTTTATTAACGAATCAATAAAACAAACGTAGAAAAGTTTCAGTGACACATGAAACGAGAGACTTATTTTATAGACATGCAGTAGAAAAGTCCGAGTTTGATCAGACCGGACGTCAATGCATGATACAATTAGTCAAGCAATTAAAGCAGTATTTGATTGAAAGTATTTTATGAACGAATCAATAAGATAAAAGAAAATTTATAGAGACAGGTGAATCGAGAAACTTATTGTATAGATACGCAGTAGAATTAAGCATCCAAGTTTGGTCAGCTGGGACTTTTGATGCTTGATACGATTAGTCGAGCAATTAAAATAGTATTTGGTTAAGAGTCCTTTTTTTCATTGCAACAATAATTATGTACCAGACAAATTTTATCATTTCTGGCTACACAGAAGCGCAGCACGCGGCGTTCTCGATTCCCCTGCTCGTTTTGAAACATCATCAATCAACCACTGGATGGTGAGAGTGAAAAAAAAAATGAAAGAAAAAGAGCAACGGTGTTCCTCTATTACCCTTCATAGACGAATCATTCGTCTGTCAGCGGGACTGCTTTTCCATTAGTCACTAGCGGTCTCCATTCGTACATATCTTTCTCTTGCACGCTACGCTGTTGTGATAATGACTTTTTAGATAGCCAATGTTCTACCAGTTTTTTTTCTCTGAGAAAAACAAAAATGTTTTTATTCTTTTTAAAATTTTTTTTTTTTTAATCTGGCAAATGGTGCTGAGATATGTTGCTACAATCAGTATACACTAATTCGTGGTAAAAAAGCACTTTGGCAATTATCGGAAAAAAACGAGCTTCGATTTTTTCATTGTTTTACTAATAATGGTGCTGATTGGAAGTGCATTTCACATCACCTCTTTCTTTTTGTACAACTTTTAGTAATATTAATGTTTATTTATTCGATATCGATTTTGATTGACTTGTTACACTACTAACATTGAGTAGTGTTGATGATTTTTTTTTTTTCTTTTTTAATAAATTGGTTGTAAAAAATGTAAAAATCTTTATTTTAGATTTTGAATTACTGCCATTTCAAGTTTATTTGTTTTTTTTTTTCCTTATATTTTTATTAAACAAACATGTGTAAAACAGAAGAATGCGTTCAAATCAATTAACGTACTTTTCTAGGGTCCTCTGATACCAGCGGCATTCACTAACGGCTACCATTGAGCCCTATTACGACACAACATCAGGTGAGTCTTTCTCGTTAAAACCTGTAGTTTTACGGGCGCGATGGTTGTGGGAGGTCGATGGCATAATGAGGCCGGAATTTTAGGGCTGCATAAAACACAGAATACGCCTAATTGAAAATCAATAGCGAACGTAGCACTCCTTTTCCCACTATAAACACCTCCCACTACAGTTAAAATTTTACTGGACTCTTTAATACCTCACGAATTTCATTTCATTGCGGTATCCACTGCGGTGCACTTAAAATTTATTTTAGTCCTTCAACACGAATAATTTACTTCAGATTCAAATTTTTTATAATTTTATTTCAACACAAAAACTTTTCCGTCGTTATTGTTTTAATTGCCCAATCCACATACACTCGTTAACAATACTATACTGCGTTTAACAATGTAGCTTTGGAAGTAGATAGAAAAAAAAAAGTAGCAAATAAAAAGCAACAAAGAAAACAAACACTGTGTAATTATTTCGCAGGATGGACGAGTGGGCAGAGCGCAGCATGGTCGACTGACGGCATTATACAATTCGAGCAACGCGAGAGCAGCAAGAGCTCGCGATTAATTAAGCAAAAAAAATAAATNTGGAGAGTCAGTTTGGTTGCACCTATTGGGCACATGGAAAACTTAATTTGGTGATTAAGCTGCATAGTAAAAGCATGTAGATGCGAGCTCAAGCAAATGTAAGACTGAGTTCGGTGACTAAGCTGTATGAGAGAAGCTCAAGCAAATCAGGCTACTGTAGGCTCACCTAAAAAGTACAACAAAGAGACATAAGAAAAGAAAAATCGTCGATTTCGGTTCGAAAATTAAAAGCAGAATCCTTATTATCATCATCACTATGAGTACGCTTACTAAGGATTAGAACCATAGTTATGTTGTTAATCTTCTAATATATTGCAACTGTGTGAGCACGAGCGGCGTTTTACCAACGATCGTAGAAGTAAGTTAAGTTAGGAAAAATTAAAACTTGTTTACTTATTATTTTTTTTATTTCTCGAAATTATTGATTGATATAAAAAGTAAAGAAGAGAGGGTGAAGAGCCGACCAACGGGACTTGGTTTTCAACGCACGCAGACGGTCGTTGCGCACGTGAGCAGTGGGACAAGAAGATATGAGGCAAACGGACGAAAAAAAAAGTAAGAACAACAATGATAACGCAACACGGAAGAGAGCGGAAAATCGAGGAGTTTTCGTTGTCGAGGGATGAAAAAAAAGGAGAAAAAAAAAAAATCTAAGGAACCGAAGAAAGAAGAGGAAACGGCACAGACGACGATCGGTTTTATCGGATGGAGCAAGTGAGTCGGAGAAAAAAAGTAGGAAAAAAAAGCTTCCTCTTTACGGAGGAGAGACTCGGCAAAGCCTCCGCTGGAAGTGAGAGAGAGCGAATCGTCGTCAGTTGAGCGCGAATGAGATGTGTATGCGTGCATGCGAGGGGGGTGCGAGTTACAAGACAAAAGTGTTACGAATTGGGGAAAAAAGGAGGGAAAATACATACAAAAGGAATAATGATAACAGTAAGGCCAGAATCGTGTGTGTTCCACGAAAAAAAAAAAAAAAAAAAATATTGTGAAAGGAGCGATGGGGAGGGTGTCGTAGAGTTGTTTAGGGAATCAAGGAACGTTACGTCGAGAGCGAACAATAAGTACCACACATACACACGTACACTTCTTACTACACGCAGAGATAATAAATACAGGTTTTTAAACGCAAAAGAAAAAAAAAATCCTTAATATAAGTAAATGAAGTAATAAGTGTAAGGCTATAACGATATGATCGATGATAAGCGTTGTACGCGTGAGACGTCGTGAAAAAACTATATATATGATGTACACACATTGGCAATTCTTGAGCATGCAGTTTCGCTTGGAAAATACAAAGATACGATTTTTGAGGTTGAGAAGGTGTCTCCGCCGCGACCGGACCTGCGATTTGGCGCTAGCCCGTTCTCCAAGCATTAATAATTAAAATAAATAAATAATAATTAAGACGAACGAATATGTAAACTTTGTATGTCTTGCACAGAAGAGTTTCCAAACTTTTTTAAAGTGTACAAAAGAAAAAAAAAATTGTAAGGGTGTTTTTCACGTTTCATGAAGAAATAAGAAAAAGCAATATTACTAATGCATTGTGCACTAACTGCAATGATGCGATTCTTGCGTATATGTGTATCCCCGACCAGTCAATATTAAACGGAATATGATATGTGCAAGGATATTTATTTTAATAAAACATTTCTTCTTAATATTGAAGATAGGAAAAAAAAAATATATATATAATTTAATTATGGAANATACACCCTACATATTACAACAACCACAAATTATTAAGCAAAGTGACAGGAAAAAATTATTAATAATTATCGAATATTCTATAGATAACGTATGATCTTAGGGGCTAAGCAGATGACAGAAAACCCACTAACGAAAAAGACAAAATAAATGAAAATTTTAAAAAATCGTAACAATTGTGTCGACGAGGGTGTTTTAAACGAGGAGGACGATTTTTATTGGGGGAATCGTCTAATTATGACTAGGGGCACGTATACATTCGAGATCAAATGCAATCAAGAGATTAGTCGTTTTTTTGTGCAATTAATTGTGCAATATCAAACACCTTCAATAAATAAGTGAATGGACGCACCGATGAACAACATAAAAATAATAATTAAGACTATAGTGTTGGATTTTTATCGACGTTAAAAAAAAAGGATAAGGCAAATAGAAAAATACCACAGCATTTACTGTGGACTAAGAGCCAGAACGAACAAGGTGACAGAGGCTAAGTATAATAAAAAAAAACAAAAAACAAAAAAAAAGATATAAATTCGCGTTTTTAAAGCCTTCTCTTCGACTTGCTAGGGAACAACAAGAAGCGCGCGATTGTCTGGTGTCGTAAATCAAATTTAGGTAAGTCAATGAACTCTTGACCGTCGCACGTTGCTTGGAGTCAATTTCAGGGCCTATTGACGATGAGGCTTAAAATTATTGTAAAAAAAAAAAAATAATAATAATAATGATAATAATAAAAATTACCGTAAAATGAAGAAAAAAAAGACAAAAATCATTGTGTATAGCTAAAATAATTGAATTATTCGATTTTAACCCTTTTTAAATCTCAAGTCCTCATACATACACGCTACGCAAATGAACGAAGATTTTCTATTGTTACATGTATCAATACGTTTTACACTTATTATAATTAAAGTACTACTTTATTTTTTATTACAAACTAATACTTTATACCATTTTACTCAATTATTGTCATCTTGATATGACTATAAACTCACGCTTACGTATAAATTTCTTACTGTTTGAATTTCATCCCATTAGAAAAAGATTCAGCAGGAAGCCAACGAGCACAACAACATTTATAACATGGAAAAACATAAGTAAACCAATATGAGGAATAATTCTAACTGCAATAATCGAGCATTAAATTTTTACAAAATGTTAGGGTGGGACGAGCTATTTAATTTTTACTTGCTGTGTTCTAATGGCTGCAAAAACTTTTTTTTTTTTTTTTTTTTCATGCGAACTTAGAAAAGTACGAGTGTAAACGAGTATATTAGCAAAATGAGAGAGAAAAGGGAGAAATACGACACTAAATGTACGAACTAAAACAAAAAATAATTCACTCGGATACTTATCTTCCATAAATTTTTTCTCGCCACGCGTGTGTTCGAGCTAATACTCGTTGCGTCAATAATAAAAGAATTTTACTAAAACGCTGGAAAGTTTATTTGCGCTGACAAGTGGTGGCAAATTTACGAGGATGGTACAGCCAGTGGACTGTTTATAAAACACCAACGCTTTTTTACCGCATCCAGCAATCATTATTATTATTCAGTTTTCGGAAGTTGAATTGTTTTTTCGTAACAAGTTAAGTATTTTGGATATTTTCAAAGAACTGAAAATACTATTGGGCTAGTAGGGAGGGAACGTCACTGGATTTGTTTTGTTATGTATTACATGATGATTATCATTAAAAAACATTTTACAATAAATGAATTAATATATGTATGATTATAGTATGATTATTATTGTATTCGAAGACAGGGTAAAATAAAAAAAAATTTTCGAGATGCGCGTTTCATTGAAGGGCAGCCATTTTGTTTTCCCGCAACACATGAGATTTTTGTGGAATCTGTAGATAAAAATGAGTCAATTTTTTAGAATCGTAGATGTATATTTAAACTAAGATCTCGAATTGACTACACAAAGTGTCACGAGAACATGCTTTATTGGATACACTAGTTAAAACGTAACAAAAAAATTATTTGTCATGTTAAAACAAAGTGGCAGCTTCTTCGGTGCGTCTCTCTAATTAAGATAAATGGATGTAAAAGAAAAAGTAAATATATGCACCGGACCAAACGTGGTATCCAGTAATGTTTTTTCGCGAGTATTAACTTAAATTTTAAACGAGCAGAATCGAGACGAGCGTGACATTCAAATTGTGCAAGTTCTCGAATTGGCTCGCCAACGTGAGGCTACGCAGTAGTGGTTGCAAAAGTACATTTTGTTAGCATTAAAGAAACGTTGATTTTTAGGTGCACGAAATTTATCTACTTTTTAAATTTAATTTAATTGCTATAACAATAAATTATATCATTATATTTCAATATAAACTACCAGTCGCACAACTTCAAGATTAATTTTCTAACAAATAAGAAAAAAGTGCAGATGGAGAAAAATTAAAAACAATTAAATAAACAATTATAATGACTTTCGGACTAGTGAGTGAAGACAAAACACCAACTAAAAATAAAAATTTGTTACGGTAATAACAAAATCCATGATACAGGTGAGCAAGAAGTAACGTAAATTTTAATGCGAAAAATTCGATAAACTTTAATCCTACGAGACTAAAGAGAAATTGTGGGCATCANTTTTTTTTTTTTTCTTTTTTTTATTACCACACTTGTATACATGTGAGCGTGACGCACACATAAATCAAAGTGTACGCGATTTTTTGGTGATTTTTTTTTAGCTGTGCAAACCTTATGCACAAGTACTTGTTCAAAAGGGAAAAATATGAATGAGTCAAGTTAAATTTAATATTCATATGGTAAACGGAAAAATAATGCAAGGAATTCTTGAAAACACTCCAAAATATAACACAAGACCAGAGACGGAAAATCAATCGAGCCATGGATCTTCCGGTAGTAAAAAATATTATTATAAACGTCTTCGTTCGAAACAGTCGTCCAAAATCCTCCCCAAAAAATAAAAACATAAAATTAATAAGCAAGTTATATATAATTTACATATTTTATATGGACACAGATAAAGCTCACGAGTGATTATGATCAATTAATTACAATAAAGAAGCGTGGAATACAGTTAAAAAAAAAGAAGCGTCGATGGAGATCGGGATTATAAGTGAAAGGAGAAAGGTACAGCAAAAGTGTCAGAGGATAGCTGAAGTCCACGCTTTTATAAATAAACACAAAAAAATAAACAATTATTGAACTACATCTTATAATCTACATCTAGAATACAGGCATACGCATATAAATATATGAATATAAAAAAACGATGAGAAAGGAGAAAATATACATATAAATAATTCATGGTTAAG